AACTCAACTACTATTTGCGTTAGTATGGGGCATACAGAAAAATTAATTTATTATAGGTATATGCAATTAATTCATAAAGAGCTTTCAACAAAAATATAATATTTACATTTTAGGTTTATTAAAACAGTAAATATATTATTACATTGAGTAACTTGATCACTTATAGATTATGATAATYAACTATTATTCAGTATACAATCTATGAACATTGTGTTTAGGTATTGTGGTATTTACGATTGTGTAAAAACTATATATATATGATTATTATTTTTTGTGCAATTTGGTCACATAATTAACATGATTATTTTTATAAGTTTGTTCTGATATATTATATATTGAAAATATTTATTTGTTTAAGTATAAGGTACTATCTCTTATACTTTTATCAATTTCTTGTTTAGGTTTTCTGTTTAAGTACAAACAATATTAATAATCAAGGAGAAGACATAAACTGTCTAATAGGATCAAGATAAAAAATGTTGATCACCTTATAAAATAGTTTAGAAAAATGCTGTCTAGCCATATATGTCACTGGTTCTATATATTTGTGCCATTAACATTCGACAGATGAACCTATTCATTTTTATCAATTAGATATCGAAAAAAAGTTGATTATTAACTAAAATTTAGCCAACGAATCTAAATTAATCAACCGTTAGAGTAAAGTTGGGTAATTTTTGAGTCATWTTTTTATATGATACCTAACTATAAATAGTGGGTAAAAATTATCGTAGTACTTAAACATTATTATAAACATGTGTAAAAGCTATATAATTATTTTAACAGTAGGTAAAAACTCATTATCTTAAATTGGTTTAGGGAAGATTTCTTTAAAAATAATTTAAAGTAAACGCAAAATTAACATTTTTGAAAAATGTATGTTTTTATTATTTTTTATCGTTATGGTTTTGTATGTTTTTTTTTTTTTTAATATCTACGTACATTTTATATTTCATATTCTGAAGCAGTTTATTTATCGAAAAAATGTCAATATAATATATAATTGAATTTCGAA